CTATATACATATACTCATATACACATATACACATCATACACATACACACATACACACATATATACATATACGCATATACACATACACACATACACACATACACACATATACACATAAATAGATATACACATATACAGCATATAAACATACAAACATACACACATATACACATATACACACATACATATACATATACACACATACATATACACACATACATAAACACACATACATGTAAACATATACATGTACACATTTACATGTACACACGTATACACATACACACACATACATGTACACATATACACTTATACACAACACACATACACAGTACACATACACAACACACATACACACATACATATACACATATACACATACAAACATACACGTATATACTTATATACTTATACATATATACATACATACATACACACATATATACACCCATACACATATACATATATACATATATATGTACATACACATACGTATATTCATACATATACATATACATGTACATGTACTATTATTTAGTAGTGTGTATGTGTGTGTGTGTGTGTGTGTGTGTATTCTATATCTAGATCTAGATTTATGTCATTGTCTATATCTATGTCGATGTCTATATCAATATCAATATCAATACCAATACCAATACCAATATCAAAATCGATATCAATATCAATATCAAGACCAAGACCAAGATCAAGACCAAGACCAAGACCAAGACCAAGACCAATACCAATACCAATACCAATACCAATACCAATATCAATATCAATATCAACATCAACATCAACATCAATATCAACATATATTATATCCATATACCTCTATTTTAATCTCCACATCTATGTATTGATACGTGTGGGGCATTTGAAAAACATCTACTACCGCGTTGCCATGAAGCAGTTGAATTAATAAAAACAAATTTGACTATCCCTGTACAAATTACCCGATGAAGCTTTTTTATTAAGATCATTGGTGGACACCCGAGTACATACTGTTGACCCTGATGTACGCGAGATTGCTATACAGTACGTACAACATATTTCTCTAGTTAAATTCAATTTTCTATCGCGACAGTAGACCTTTCCAGATAGGGTTTGTGATTGAATCGGACACCACGAAAGACACTTCGAATGTGCTTTCTTACAACACAGCCAAAAAGGATGAACGACGAATTACACAATGTCTCAAGCAGAGTTGTCCTCCCTTCCATCGTCATTGTCCGGCATATCTTTCTCTACAAACTCATCAAGCGCATAATAACAGAAGGCATACTGCGACAGACTCTGCACCATCATCTGCCGTTGTCTGCGCAGGTCCAATATAACCCGCGGAAAATCAACGAAGCCATTCTTTGGGTCCTGAATGCGGTATTAGCGTGAAAGATGTGAGTGAATTCTCTTAAGTTTCATTGCAGAAGAATCAATGCGTGCTCGATTTTGTCAAACGATCCAATCAAAGAAGAAATTAAACAGTCCAGGAATGGAAGTACGATGCATCGGCGCTCGTTTTCAATGGAATGGACAACGTGAACTCATTTCAGGTACTTACCAATACGGCCTTGATTGCTGTGTCAATAGCCACCATGGTACCAGTTCTACCGACCCCCGCACTACAATGCACTACAATCGGTCCAGCACCTGCTTGTGCTTCTTGGCGCTCATTGATAGCCCCAAGCATCTCAATCACGCCATTGGGCGATGAGGGCACCCCATGATCTGGCCATGCCTTGTAATAGTACTGCACTATCGTTCGAGTCTCCTCTTGCTCATCGTCTACCGGCATCTCATCGGAACTTCTCTCCAGGCTCTCTTCGGACACAGACTTAGTAACTGCCCTATCGCGGAATGCTTTGACCGTCGGAGAAGTGGTCAGGGAATTTTCGTGAAACACTTTGACCTTGGGGGAGGTTGCTTGTGATGTATTTGAGGGTGATTTCGTTTTGCAGTCACGTGGCGTGGTATCAGCTTTTTGCATCGAGTTTGGCTTAGGTGGTGATGGTAGTGCACACGGCCTTTTTGGAGACTCTTTTGCGTTGGGTTTGCAAGCTTTTTTAGTCAGCGTCATCGTCCTTTCAAGGAACGACCCGCAATCGCTGTCAATTTCGTCTATTGTTTCCACCCTGATATCATCGTACTGCTTAGAGTTCTCGACATTGGGCCAATACTGGTCACATTTGAGCCGTCCATTCTCAATGAGTTTAGTGGTCATAACGACCGATATACTATTTTGTTCCCACACCATCTCCCAAAAGTCATTTGCGGTGTTCGCGAGCGGTCCTTGGGCAGCGATGAATTGGTTTTTCTTGTTGTATCCATGTATATAATTGGCGTTGATGTAATCGTTCTTTGCATTTTCAAGTTTTACACGACTATGTTCTAGAGGCAATATATTGCTGTACCTATTCTTATCTTTGTTCTGAGGGTCTTTTGCGCTCGTCTGGTCAGTGCTGAGCAATTGTTCTTGTTCACATATCCACATAAATTCGTTCTGAAAGCCGTCTGTGTCATCCAACTTATTGACATAATCCTTCAAATGGCTATGGTGTATCGAAGTGAGACTCTGATAGATCTCTACTGAATCTGCGGAAGTTGGAAAGCAGGCGCCAGTGGGAGGAATAAAATTTTGGATTTTAAATTCCTAATCTTACGATGCTTAGTGTTTTACTACTGAGCAGTACAATCATCATAGGATTCGTCAGGCAGCACATGTGCACAATGGGCGACAACGTATGAAACACGGGCGTCACAAACGACAAGATATATGTTTAGTGTCGCAAACATCACTTCAACAGAATCATCGAATATAAACTTTCAAACGCTATGTTGAATGTGACAAGAAACGATTTCATTACTAATTGCAACCGTTAGAATATTTATGTGCATGAATATGCAAATTATATATATAT